ACACATGGAAATATTAATACAAAACAGAATTATTCATCATTTAGATAACCCAAATGTGTGTCATGTAACAAAGAAACCATAGTATATCTGTATAACTATACCCTGCACAGAAACTGGAAAGGATCAAGTGCATGTACACACAAGCATATAACTGGGTTTTGGAATCACCTTGTCAGGTATTTGAAGACCGTAATTTTGGAGTATAAGTGCCTGTTTCTGAAATGATGGCATGTACTTTCAAGCAACAAAGCAGATCACTAGATTCAAGCTTCATGGGATTAATGTAGAGGTGAAAATGTTGGGTAGATAGGGAGGATTTAAATTATTTAACAAATAATATATAATCATAACACATTTGAAAATAAGTATTTTATATAAATTATATGTGTGTGCACTTGCCAAACTTTGTCTCTAACATGAGTATGTATTTTATGAACATTCCAGCTCAATAAACTTGTTTTAAATATCTAACAAGATTTTGACATCAAACTTATTTTGAACTTCTTCACAAAAGATTATTGATTGAAATATGATTACCGAAGCAGGATAATAATGTAAACTATTGCCATTTATATGTAGTTCCACAAGATACATTGAATTCTTTCTAAGATAATGTAAATATTTGGAGGCAAGATTTGGGCCTCAAGGCAGGAAAGCTCTGATAGTTGGACAGAAAAACAGATAGATGATACTTCCCATGAGAACCAGAGCTAAGTTTCCAATCATATGTCCAGCATTCCCATGATGGAGAAATTATACTTCTACACAGTAGATATATTGTACTTCTATCACCTTAGGGCCTATTGGATCTAGAAGTTTCTTTCAAAGAAGGTACACCTGAGCAGTGAGGAGGTGGGGAGGGTAGTGACTACATGCTGAGGTCTCAGGGCCCGGGCCTGGCTTGTGATAGAACATTCAGAGTAAAACATGGACACAGATGTGATAGTGGTGACAGGGTTAGAGACAGTGCTGAGATTGACAGCAAAGGAAAGGGGACATGTCATGTAGTCCTGGGGCTTGAAGGAATACAGTGAGGCCTCTGCTTGGTGACTCATTATGCCTGGCTTCTGCTGATCATGTTAACAATGCTGACCATAGTAGACACTCATGTTAATGACTTCAGACAAAATGACATGTGCCCCTGGACTGATTATCAAGTCTCCCTGTGTATTCTTTAGACTCTCTAGTGTATATTTTGTCATAGAACAAGCTTCTTATTGCTTTTTACTTGGCCATGGACTTTTTAATATCTTAATGCCACCTAGGAAGTATGCCAGTGAAGGACACTCAAAAGATATAAGGCATATGAACCCAAGTTTTTACTCTCTTTTAGTTAACTTATATATTTTAATGAATATATGTTCCATTAAGATGAGTTTGAGAATAGTAAGAATCAGCTTAATCCAAGGCTGCATTCTAAGAATGACCAATACTCTTGTAAAGTTTGAGAAATCTTTGAGCAAGTCACTGTTGCTTAAGAGTCCTAAGATAAATTCAAGTCTGTGTAGTCCTGCAGGAGATTTCAGTTGGGTCTTGGATTCTCCTGGAAGTAGAGAAGCTGAGATCTCACACTGCAGCCACTGCTCTGGCTGCAGGAGAGTGTGGCAGATGCTCTAGAGGATACACTGTGAGGGCATGAATAAATATATATATGGTTTGGTCTGTCTTGTTGATTGGTTGTTGCCTTGCTTTGCTTTGTTTTGTTTTAAACAATATGGAAGACTTTGAGACTTTGAAAGAAAAGTGGTCAAATGCTGTATATACTGCTTAATGGGTCAAGCTAATATAAAGAGTAAAAGACAGCAATGATAACAAATATAATCACATTCATTGCTGGTGGGACTACAAATGGGTGCAGACACTGTGGAAGTCAGTGTGAAGAATCCTCAAAAAGTTTAAAAGAAAAATACCATATGTTCCAGCTATATCGCTCCATGCTATGTGCCCAAAGGAGTCAATATCCTACTTCACTGATTATTGCTCAGCCATGTTCATTTCTATTCTATTCACAATAGCTAGGAAATGAAAGCAACCAAATGTCTTACAACTGAGAAAGATGTGAGGACAATGTGTGCTCTGTGGAATATTATTCATGCATAAAGAAAAATTGCATCATGTAATTTGAAGGCGAAAGGATGGAACAAGAAAATATCACATTGAGTGAGGAAACCCAGGCTTAGAAAGATAAATGCTCTCACTTCCTGGGGGACCCTGGCTCAAAATCTTCACATATGAGTACATATTCTGAAAAAAAAATTAGCACTAATGCCACAATTTGTACTGGTGGTAGTTGTGGAGCAACAGAGAGGGCCATGACAGAGTAAAAGTGATCAGAGAGAAATGGGAAAAGCACAGCTCCTTTGGAAGGGAGAGAGAGATAAAAAACAGTTGGAGGAGGGCAAAGGGAAATAGCAGAAGATAACTGATCTGATAGGAGAAATGGGAAACCTGGGGCTTCTTAGAGAAGGGGAGCAAGGTAAATAGAGGAGAAGAATGGAGGTTGGGAAAACATCAATAAGGATGTTTGGAAAAGCCACATAGACTCATATTATTAACTATTCAACTAAAATAATCTAATACGTGTAAGTCAGTATATAAATACACATACAGTTTTTAAATTTTAATCATCAGGGCAGACTGTGCTCCTCCAACAATCAAAGGCCACTTAAATAAAACTCAAATTCCAGATATGAGAAGCCTTCTTTGGAGTTGGTGGCCAGAACTGTCAAGAGACTCCTAAAACATACAACCTATTAATTTTGCCCTTTGTTACCTCCAGGAGTGGTAAGTCATTATTGTTGAAGTTACTACACACTTCAGAAACACATCCATGAGACCCATTAACTGGAGTGACCTGAACATTCCTTTCCTAAAGTCAAACTTCCATGGTACCAGAAGGTTTCCTGCAAGCTTCCAAGGGAGGAGACAACCAACAGTCCTACAGCTATTCTGCCTATATATCATAATGTCTGGCATGGTAAGGTAACCCTAAGGATTCAGTACTGACACACATAACTTGGTATTAAACAACAGCTCTCTAATTGGAATTAAGGCCCACACAGTAAGAGAGATACCATACCATACGTACCTAGTTAAGTACTCAGGGCTAGAGAAATCATGGTTATTAGATGATTACTACAATGACTAACTTATTATACCAGCATAATCTGTAATAACAATCCATCTATAAACATGTATTTGTATGCACAGATAAGTGTAATTTACACCCCTCATCAAGGAAACTTCTCTTTGTAACACATGGAGACCACTACAGAAAACCAAAATCAATCAAACCACAGAGTTGTGGAGTCCAGTCCTAATGAATACATCTACAAAACACTCCAGCATCTCAGGGAGCATTGAGTAAGAGACAGTGGAAAGATTGTGAAAGCCAAATAATTAGAGAGTTTGCTGTTAGATTGTGTCTCCTAGTGATATCAGAAGTCATTCCCATAAAGTCTCACTAACAAGTCTAGACTTGGGATAGCGCAAGGCTTCACAACCAAATAAAGAAATAAGTCAACCCAAGATTGCTGAGAGTTGGAAAAATAGTCTTTCCCATAGAAGAATGCACGAATTTGCTAATTAATATCAAATGATCAACTTTTCAAACATGCATACAAGTAATGTAATGTAGACCGACCAGATTGTATCTATGTACATAGGAGTTCATATGGATACACATGTATGTATAAAACAATTAGAAAGGAGGCCGTAGCTTGAAAGAAAGCAAGGCCACATATATAGGAGGGTTTGAGAAGAGGAAAAAGAAAGGGGAATTTATGTAATTATAATCTTGAAATAATTTTTATAAAAAATGCAAGGTTAAAGAAAAGAGATCTGAACTCTATTAAACCGGAAAACCTAGTAGAATTGGGTAAAATTCTAGATATAAATGAATCAAGAAGGTATCCATATTTAAATAATTTGGATAATTAATTTAAATAAGTGTTTCAAAATAAAGAGGGTAAAACAGCACCAAAAACTTTTACAACACTAGCATCCTTGGATGCAGTTAGATTAACACCAGAATTTTAAAGGATTTTAAAAAGACTACAACCTATACTTCTTAATGTATCAGAAAAATATGGAAATCCAAAGAGCACTTTCAAACTCCCTCCATGAAGCCAGACTTACTCTATTGTGGAAGCCATAACAAACACACAAGCAGACAAAACTCCAGTAATTGGTAGGTAGCAGCAGTTTTCCCTTAGGGCCCACAATCTGTCCAGTCATGGATTCTTGGCTAGGTTTATAGTGCAATGTATCTGTTCCATGTGATTGATTTTGTGTCCAATTGGGTAGGTGTTGGCTATCCTCAAGATGCATGTGTTTCTATGTCACTGTGGGGATGTCTTGCTATTCCTTTTGTGTTGTTTCCAACATTTTCATCTGGTTAGTGCAATTGATAGCATGTTCTCCTTGCACATTACATTCAAAATTGGGAGGGCTATCCCTAAGGGAGGCAGATTCCAGATCAATGATACTGTGTTGACCATAGGGTGTAGTATCCTCAGCAATAGCATCTCACCCTGATGTTCTAGCAGGCAACCAAAGCAATGGTGTTAGCTCCTATTGTTTTGAAGTTCTCTTGGAGCACACTCAAAAACAACTCAAGGGGATGTTTTTCATACTTGCCACTGTGTGGTTTTAGCTAATCTACAGGTCCAGTGGTACATTATCACAATATGTGAAGCAACTTCAATGAAACAACATAAATGTCTATATTTTTAAATAAGAATATAAAATACTGGGTTTGCTATGATTCTCAAACATCTTTACTGTTATTTTTGTCCCTTTCCCTCTCTTTGTGCATTACTCTCCTCTTCCTTCTCTCTCACTATAAAATACCTCCCTCTTCTTCCCTATGTCTATATAGTAGACCCTTCCTCTCGCAGGTCAAGTCCAGGTCACTATTACTTACATTAATAGTGCATGAATATTACAAGGTAACAAAAGCAGAACTGAATTTTTTGTCACAAGCTACAGTTTTTACCTACTTCCCCATCTGCCTGGATCACTGTGAGACACATTATCTTCCCAGATGGCACAGTAATAGTCAGCCTCATCATCTGCTTGTAGCTCAGAGATGTGCAAATTTGCAGCATTTTTGGAGGTATCTTTGGATCCAGAGACTCTATCAGTGACTCCAGGCCCCAGCTTCTTGTCTGAGTCTGAGTAGTAGTACAGAAAAAACTGGGGAGAGCTCCCCTGCACCTGCTTGTACCAGTAAATGTTTTTACTACCAACATTGATGCCACTCTTCAGAGTACAGGTGAGTCTGGCTGTTGATCTAAGAGCCTCAGAGATAGAGGTCGGTTGTGTCAGTATAGACTGAGAAAAGGAACCTGCAAAAGAAGATACCACAGTGAACAGCGGAGCTAAGGTGCAAATTCTCAGGGATCTGAAGCAGAATGGACTCACTGAGTCTAGGAGTCCTCCCCACTACTCTTAGGCCTGTTCCTACCTGTACAGAAAGATAGAATCATGAAGATGAGAGGAGTCCAAGCCATGGTAGGCACAGCACAGCTTCTCCTTAGACCAGGGTCTTCTGTCTGGGCTGTCTCAGTATCTCATCTACAGGGACCTCACAGTAGAAGAGGGGCTAGTCATGCAAATGAGTTCTCATTAACTCCTCCTAGTGGTTGATTCACAGTATGAATTCCTGATGTAGCAAAGCAGGTGAAGTGAATTACTTTTTCCCACAGAATATAAAACAGGTGGTAACACACACATGACCGTATGCAATGACCTCTTCCAGATCCGCAGTAGAACAGTTCCTGATTCCTCACAAAAAGTGATGTCACTGGGTCCCATGTTTGTTAGGGTTACCACATGTAGGCACCTGGCCTGCAGAAACTCCAGAGAGAGACTCAGTACTCTCCTTTAAGTCACAGAGCAACTATCATTTTTCACAATTATTCAATATATCAGTTCTGCTGTGTTTTCTTCACCTTATATTTCAGACACATAAAAGGAAAACAATAGGGAGCATGGTGTTGTGTTCTAGTGGAGCCATCACTGATACATTTCTCTGATGAATGTGACAGGCAAGGACATGAGTCTGAATGAATGAAGACATCCCAGGAGAGCTTGTTAGCCACTCAAGAGCTGAAGAAGACAGTGTAAGTTCCTGGATAAATATACATTACAGTTTTCTTGTTGATGATATTTAGACAAAAATGAAGTTGGTTACATCTGGCTGGGCAAACACTTCTAAACCTTGAGGAGAAGTGGGCATGTAAAAAGGGACATTGGTGGATAGAGAAAGAAAGTCTCAGTAGTGATGGGAGAAGAGGGAAAGAAAAGGTTAGTTTTATAGTGTTTGACATGAAATTTGAGAATTTAATATTTCTTAAGGGACTTGTTCTTAGTTGACACAGAGGGGTAGCCAAGGAGATATGAGGGATGGATGGCTGACTTTTATTTTATTTTATTTGCATCACTTTGTGCTAGAGACAGTGGAACTGATTTTCATGCTCAAATTCAAGAAAGCCAGCAAAGTTAGCAGAGAGGCAGAGGGTGGAATCATGGACTAGGAAAGGTTACTTACAGCAAAAGATACCATCAGACAATAGGTGAGGTGCTGTGGTAAAGTGTTGTCGTGATCTGTGCTTAAGAGGCAGATATAGTCAGGGTGACAGAGCTCTTAGGCCTGTCTCTAATTCAGTAGTGAGAAAGAAACAGTGCAAGAGAAAATAAGTGGACATAGAAAACTGATCTCCACAGAGTCTAGGTTGCCCCAAGCCTCTTTTCCAACCTCTTCAAGAAGTGGTTGTTCCTTCAGATATGTTTCCACTGTGGCTGCCAAGACTGTTTGTGAGCCCTTCTGCTGGAGTTCAGCTTACATGACAGCCTGAAGCAGAGATAAGCTTTCAGTAGTGGGAGTGTCTGGGTGGAATCACTAGCTAGGAGAGAGCCCCTTTATCCCTGAATTCTAACAGGACAGAGTGATTCCACTGCTGAGTTTTCTCAGTGAACGTTGGGTAAGCCCTAAGGCCAGCTTCTTTGAGTAAGTGGAAGTGGTATCATATCATAGACCCACAGTGCCCCCTATTAGCCAAAGGGTCCTTAGTTACCAAAGTGCAGAGACCTCAGAGTCCAGCTGGATTCTACTACTCACCAGAGCACTGTCTGAACACACAAACACAGACTCTGCTTTCTAAATGTGAAATGGATATTCTTTGCTCTTCTGTAAAAGTTTTTACCATCCTGGAGAAATGTTTGACTTTCTTACAAAACTGAAGAAATAATAATGTGTTAATTATCCCACAGAAGAATGGCAAAAAGCAGATTACTTGGTTGGTCTGTGATTAAAAATGAAGAGATATATTTTGGTAACACACACATAAACACACACACACACACACACACACACACACACATACAAATACTATTTAGCTCTAAAGAAAAATGAAGTTTAAAAGAAAAAGATGAAGGAAAAGACAGACTGTACAATGTTAGGCAAAGTCACACTGTTAGTTATTTTGTGGCGCTTCTACCCTGTGAGGAAATGTCACAAAACACAACAGAATCCACTAACAAGAGTTTTATTAAGATAAGAGAAAAGGACAAAGGTGCTCAGGCCTGCAGAAGAGACACATGTGTGGAGAAGAAGAAGGAAGTTGGGAATATGGCGCCGGTTTATAAAGGCTGGGTGGCGCATGTGTACACAGGTCCATGTGGCTACTCCACGCATGTGCATAGATCACATGGTTGCGTTGAGTGCTTTTATGCAACCATGCAAAGCCATAGGGTCCTGGTCACGTGAGACGCCTTGACCCAGAAATGGCTATTTTGACCTGGAACTGGCTAGGCGGAAGTGTCTAGCTGGACATGCCCAACCGTGGTGGTGTGTTGTGAATCTATCATCCCTGACTCTTCTTTTTTAAAAAAGAAAAGAAAATTGTGGTTGAGTGGGTGTGGGGCGTTGTTTCTCTCAAAGACTGCTTCCAGCTGAATAGTGGACAGTGGTTGGCTCTTGGGGGATATGGGTAGGATAGCTTGTGAAGTCCTGGGATGATGGTGGGGGGGTCCTGGAATGAAGTTCTGCCATCCCCTTGTTCTGCAGCTGTCCATCCGTGCTGTGGCTGGGAACCTTTTGTCAGACAAGATACTGTTGACATAGAAAAAGCTTAGAGAAAAAAATCATTATTATTTTATTTTTGGAGTTGGAGTTTGTCTGAGGTAGATCTGGCCTGCCCAGATGGAGACATGTGACATTTATCTGAGGTAGATCTGGCCTTAGTACTTTGCTTAATTTTTATCTAAGACAGGCCTTATTACAGGTAGTTTATTTAAGACACCTGTTCCCTTCATTAGTTTAGCATTTAGGAAACGCAGGTGATCAGTTACTGAGTATTGAACAATGATAGACTGTTGTATTACATTTTTCCTTACCACCTGGATATTTCTGATGGTCCTTTTGCCTCCAGCTCTGTGTGGCCCTAGTTGGGAAAGGAGGGGTGATATCTTATTACTCTGGAATTGGTGACAAGGCAGTGGATCCTCATGTCCTCTGGAGCTTGAGAGAAAAAGGCCCTGTTTGTTTCACTGTACGTGAAGAGAGATTTTTCTGGGATGGAGGTGAGATAAAAGGTTTTAGATGAGACAGGTGGACCCAGTGAGGGAAGTTTTCGAGTTTAGCAGCTGTAGGAGTCACAAGAATTACATTGAATTGTCCCTGCCACTTAGGGGGAAGGGGTGAATGGTGCTGACCTGGAGGGAAGAGAAGAACTTGATCCCTGATGTGGATTGGAGGTGGACAATTATTGTCACATGGCTGAGGTAATGAACAGTCTGCGTAGCTCCATAGGATAGACCTTAGGTGACATAAAAGGGGAGTTAACAGGATATCTGAAACAGTTGGAGGGTTGGATCCCAGGAGTGGGATTTGTGACCCAAGTTAAGTTCCTATTACTCCCTCTGGCCTTCCTACATCTCAGCACTGGAGAGAGTGGGTGCATCTTCCCTAGACAGCAGCAGCCACTTCCATTTTCCGAGCTTGTGGCAGGTGCTGCAGCTGTGCCTCCTCATTCCTCTATACACCAACAGCAACCTCCCTCCTCCTCTGTGGAGAGCCTGGATGAGGAAGTGACCCCACCTCTGACATGTTTCCCACTGCATAGTGCTCATCACAATGCTGACTCAAAATAATTCCCCCCTCAAGCCAAATGAATTCTGCAGACCATCTCTTAGCATACATTCACCACACAGTTGAATTTATCAGAGTGGACAATTCAGGGAAAGGCCTTTGTCTCTGTAACACTGTCTCTCTAAAATGAATTTTACCACTGCCAAGAAGTACAGAGAATATCTTCTTTAGCTCCCTGTCTTCAACCTTAGCTCCTGTTCTCTACAGCTGGACTCATTCCACAGTCATAGCTAAGTCCTCCATCCACTCAATTTTAGTTTTTAAGTCTTTCCTTCCCTCCACACTGTTCCTTTATTTTCCCTATTCCTATCTTCTCCTTCCTTCTCTACAGCTCTACTGTCTTTCCTACTGAAACTACAATACCTTCCACAGTTGCCTACCTAGGAAGAGCATGCCATTCTAAACCATCTGATTTATTCCCTGAGAGAATCCAGCAATGCATGGATATCATGTGATGAGCCCAATTCATGGTGAAGACACACAAATTCAGCTTCCTGAGTTCAATGAACTGACTATAGCTAGGTACCCCTTCTTATCTGTTTCTGGGATTCTAAGTGCAGAATTTCCATGCAAATACTCCTCTTCCTGAAGAGGTACAGGCCCTTCCTTTTACTTCAGACGGGGTCTGACTGAGAAGTAGAAGACTACACATGGAGAGGATGTGGACTCCACCTAGTGGCAGGACAGAAAAACCTAAAAGTGAAGGGAAAACAGAAGAAAAGCTGGGGAGCACTAGGCAGGTGCTTGGCCATATCAGTCTCCCAAAGCAACTATGTCCTGCCATCTGGGGTGTGACTGCTAGGTCCCCTTCCTGCCAACAATGAGACCATTTGGGAAGTTACATAGCTCTATCAGGGGTCTGAATGGAATATGAACTGTTCCTTAATAAAAGTCTATAAATGTCAGTTAAGACAGTGATCAACCTAGTTTACTTTTGCATAGAGAATCAATCCTGGTTTGAGAAACACACTACTCTTTTATTCTAGAAGACCAGTAATTATAATGGTGGACATTTCCAGGTAAGAATTTATTAGTGGATTGGAGTTAAGAGTGGATGTTAGTCCAACTACTGAGGGATCTGGATGCAGAGATCCATGACTAGGCCCTGGGTGGATCTCTGGGAGTCCAATTAGTGAGAATGAGGAGGGTTTATATGAGCGAGAATTGTTGAGACCAAGGTTGGATAAAGCACAGGGACAAATAGCCAAGTGAATGGAAACACATGAACTATGAACCAATGGCTGAGGGGTCCCCACTGGATCAGGCCCTCCGAATGGGTGAGACAGTTGATTGGCTTGATCTGTTTGGGAGGCATCCAGGCAGTGGGACCAGATCTTGTGCTCATTGCATGAGTTGGCT